CCCTTTTGGAGCGCCTACTTACGCAGGACTAGCGATTTTCCTCTTGAGGTGCCAGCGGTGACAAGCGGTTGGCGAGAGAGCATCGGCGCCGCCAGACGCACAGCGTCTGGGCAAGATGCTTGTAGCAACCGGGGGTGAGGATAGACGTATTCATGTTGGGTGCGAGCCGCGTGCGGGGAAGGTTGATGGGACCCGTGAGACAGAGCGCGACCTGTCTATGACAATTCGTAATCAAACCCCGTTCCCCGTAGAATCTTGCCAGCGGCGGGCTTGGATACCACGGATCCGATTTCCGTCCGCCAGATGATTTAAACGAATATCATAAACTTTCAACAGCGTCTGCACCGGACCGTGTGAAAACAGGACGGCAACCACATCCGTAGCATCCGAAATCGGATCCGCCTGGAGAACATTTGATCAAACGCAACACAATTCCAAACCACATTCGGATCCGCACCGACTTACTTGAACCCGCTAATATTTATTTCATGCGCGCTTTCGTAAGAGCCGGAGGCATCATGTCTGGGTCCAAGAGGAAACAACTTTCGTCCCGAGGATATATGCGGTCGCACATTGTCGCCAGATCTCGGCCACGCTATCGGACTCTATGCCCCCTCTGCCATTGTAGGAACCCTTCGGGGAACACTTTGGGGAGGAAGAGGGAGAGGACGAGGGAGGAAAAATAAGGAGGATGAGGAGGAGGAGGAGCCAGAGGAGGAGGAGGAGGAGGAGGAGGAGGAGGAGGAGGAGGAGGAGGAGGAGGAGGAGGAGGAGGAGGAGGGGGACTCTTTGGCGCCTTTGGGACACATTGAAGGCCTCCTGGGCGCCTCCCGGGGGCCTCTTGGAGGCCTCTGGGAAGCATCCTTGGGCCAACTGGGGGGCTTTGGAGGCTTCTTGGGGGCTGCTTGGTCGTCTGCGGGCATTCCTGGTCTGCCTGACGCTGTCGGAAGCCGTCTTGGGCTCTCTTTGGCCGACTTGGGGCACTCTTGGGGCGTTCCAGGGCCGTTTTGGAGGCCATCTTGGGCGTCTTTGAGATCTCCTGGGCCGTCTTGGGGCCCTCTTGGGGCCGTCTTGGGCGCCTCTTGGGCCGTCTGGGGGGTATCTCAGAGGCCTCGGGGGCATCTTGGTGGCCTCTGGGGCCGTCCTGGGCATTCGGAAAACCAGCAATCAGCAGACGCCAGAATTTACAAAACCGACGGGCAATCAATGGTGTTGGCCACTTCGGGCCTTCGTGGAGTCCCTCGAACAATTCCTGCATTCAGGGTTTCGTATCCCTTTTCTGAGGAACTGGACCTGCTTGCCGGTCTCGCGGCTGTGTTGTCACCGTCGCCGCCCCGTCGGCGCCTCGTCGGCGCCCGTCGTCTGGGCCTGCTTGTCGGTCTGGCGGCTATGTTGTCGCCGTCGCCGCCCCGTCGCCGCCTCGTCGCCGACCGTCGTCTGGGCCTGAGTGTCGGTTTGGCGGCTACGTTGTCGCCTTTGCCGCCCCGTCGTCACCTCGTCGCGGCCCCCCCCGGGGTTATCCGTTCTCCTTGTCGTGCTGCACTTTGAATATGATCATGCCCCATCGTTCATCCTAAATACGAGCTCATGCCATCCCAGCCAGGCTGGTATCGACCCCCCCGCCATCCTCTGCACAAATATATGCGCGCACATTCGTTTATACCACATCACCAATTTTGAGGTGCACGAGCTCCCTTACACACGGGTTGATGTGTGCGTTGAGGTGTTGTGTAGATGAGTTGTAGTAAGATCTGGTGTAGGACATGTTGAAGGAAACTTGGATGCCCGTAAATGTGCGCTTCAGATAGTTGAGGGAAACGTCGTTGTTAGAAACGGGGTTGCGGTAATTGTTGACCATGGCAAAATGAGTTCGATAATGTGTTGTCGTTAGAAGTTGATGGGCGCACGGTTATTGGTTGCTGATTTTTCGCAGCGCGGGAGGAGGAGAAAGAGCCAACTGGGGAGGAGAGAAAAAGCCGGTGATGAAGCCCCCAGCAGTTGCAGCACAACACCTTCGCACAGGCCCCCACCAGCCCCAGTACAATTCTCCACCACGACCCCCCCAGCACGACCTCCCAGCACGACCCCCCAGCACGACCTCCCAGCGAGCAGAGAGGGGGAGAGGAGGAGGGAGGAGAGAGGGTGAACAGGGGGAGGCAGCCACGACCCCCAGCGCACATACAGCAAAAGGAGCCTCAGCGCGACCCCCCAGCACACGCCCCCAGCTGACATTCCCCCAGCACAACCCCAGCCCTAAGCTCATTGCCCTTCCAGTTGGGCCCCATGGCTCCCGCGCTTATTCAATAGCTGTTGCATGTTTCCCCTGCCAACTGCCTGAAGGCATGATATTGACGACGTACCAGGATCTGCACAAGTGGCTGGGGCAACGCTTCGTTCGGAAAACGAATGGCCTGGATGGCGTTTGGGCTCTGTTTCAGTGGTCTTTGGGACTTGGGGAACACGTCGTTGCGTTTGAATTCGCTGTAAGATGAGGCGGGGGTCGAGGAGCGGGAACTTGCAGGCGCATTGAAACTGGTTGGGTGTAGTATGTATTGTCGAGCGCGTGTGGAGGGCGCGGGGCGTTGTTGGGCCATCGGCGCGCTGTATAGGACGTAAGGGGAAACGTTGATTTAACCTGTCAAGCCATAGTGCCATAGTGATATGGAGCGTAGCGTAGAGTCGTAGAGTCTTAGAGTCGTAGAGCTCAGCTGGGAGCGCAGGGTCTGGGGTTTCGGGCGCGGGGTTGCGGGCGCGCAATGGCGCGGGTTGTGTTTTTCTTTGGGGGGGGGGTTGGAAGGGGCGTAGTGTGGCGCGAGGGTGATTTTCCGCGGGGCGTTTCGCTTCTGAGTCGCATCGTGCGCGAGCCTTCGGGCGCGCGGCGTGATGCGCGGGGCGCGCGGCGTCGGGTAGCACATTGGTTGGGGCCCGCGCCGGCTAGCAGATGCTGAAGCTGTACGCTTCCCGAAGGGAGTTCGACAGTTTTGCCTCTTGGGTCCTTTCGGGAGGCCTCTCGGGAGACCTCTTGGGCCTCTCTTGGGGCGTCTGGTGCGCATGTTCAGCCGTCTTCAGGCCACCCTGGGCGTTTCGGGCCGATCGTTCGGCGATTTGGAGCCGTGTTGGACCGTCTTGGGGGCCCTGTGGGGCGCTCACGTCTTGGGACCCAACCCAAATTTTCGGCTCTCCTGGGGATTCTCGCGTGGTTCCCAGGGCCCTGGCGCGTCTTGCTGAATGATTCGTTCGTGACTGAGGCTTTAAGGGATTACCAAGGACCTGAGCACGCTCCAACTCCTGCCTCAGGGCACGGCGGCTGACATTTGGACAGATAGGAGGGTTGGAAGAGGGCGGGGATGACGAGGAGCAGGGGGAAAGGAGGAGGAGGAGGAGGCGGCGCAGGAGGAGGAGGAGGGGGAGGAGGAGGAGGAGGAGGAGGAGGAGGAGGAAGCGACAGTGATGTTGATTGCGAGTGTGATTGTGATTGTGATGACGCTGATGGTGATGATTGGGATGGTGGTGGTGGTGAGAAGGCTTATGCTGGTGTTGGTAATGGTGATCTGACGGTCTCCACCTTTTGCCGCCGCCCCCCCTGATTGTTTTCGTGACTGAGTCGATAGGGGTTAGTTGGTTGATTGGTTGTTTGGTTGGCAGGATGGAAACCCGGCTGGTCGACTGACTGTCTGGATGGACAGTTGGCAGGTTAGCTAATTGGGTGATGGATGGGCTGGTTTGAGGGCATGCTGGCTGGTTGGAAGGCTGGCTGTGTGGCTGCTGAGTTCGAAGCGCGGGCCCAATGCTTTCTTTATCAGGGATCGTGGCCTCGGGATCGCGGATCCAGAGCTTTTTGTCGAGAGGGGTCGTGGGCTTGGGAGAGCGGGTCCATCATGTCGTTGTACGATGGGTCGTTGCTTCGGGAACGCGCAGGTCCACTTATGTTTTGATTGATCATATTTCCAGGAGCGGAGTTCCACAGTCTTTCCCGAGACATCATGCCCTCGGGACCACGGACCCACAGTGTTTTACAAGTAGCGTGGCCACGGGAGCGTTGAACCACCGCTTTTGTACCCAGGGTCGTGGCCTCGGGAGCGCATGTACGTTTTGTTCCAAGGAGTCGTGGCCTCGGGAGCGCGGACCCAGGCTTTTTCTCATTTGCGAGGAAACGTAACGTCGGGAGCGCGGACCCGTTTTCATGTGTTGTTGTTTTGTTTCTTTTGTGTGTTTTATGTTTTTTATGTTTGTTTCCAAAAAGTCGTGGATTCGGGACCGCGGACCTGCAATATGTTGCAAGCGATCATGGCCTCGGGAGCGCGGCCCTTTATGTGTTGTTTTTTTTGTTTTTTTCCGAGGGATCGCGGCCTCCCCAGCGCGGACCCACGGTACGGTCCCGCTTATGACTAAGAAACCTTCCCCCCGAAAGGCTGGCCCAGCGTTTCTTGACCAAATTGCCGGAAATCTGGCTCAGTTCCTTGAGGGGATTGGTAGCCTTGGATCCTAGACATGAATCGTGTACGCTCCTGGCTCCCAAAGCTGGCCCAGCGTTTCCTTAAGAACCTTCTGCAGAGCTGGCCCTGTTTTCTTAATGGATAGAAGTCTTAATCGTATTGGTGACTGTACATTTGTTTCACGAGGGGTCGCGGCTTCGGCAGCGCACACAGCGGTTCTTACGAGCGACCGTGGCCTCGGGATCACGGGTTCGTTGGTTTCCCTCCTCGGCGATTGCACCCTTCGGCGGCGAGCCCAGGGGGGAAGTGAGAAGGAGGAGGCATTCTCACAAGGCTCGGAAGTCCCCCGGCCTTCTGAGCGATTAGCGTCGATTAGCGTCGAACAGCGCCTGGGAGTCGATGAGATAGCGCCGATTTAGCGTCGGTTAGCGTCGGTTGGCGTTGATTTGGTGTCGATTAGCGTCGATTCGCAATCGCCGACAAGATGGTATGGGAGACTCCCATGAGTTGCCACCGAAGACGCCCCATCCCGAAAACGCGAGGGCGAAGACAGAGCGCAGGCTCCTCGAGACCTCGGGGAGTGAGCTTTCGGTATAGGGTTCTCCCAGGGGGACCGCGCCGAACGCACAGCGAGGCTCCTATGGGTTCCCGCCGCCTTCTGTCGGGCGAGTGGCAATGGGGGTGGCCCAAACGGTGGGTGAAGAAACAAATCTTCATGGGGTCCTCTGGGGCCCCTTGAGGGCACCAGCTGGCTCCAGGAGGGGCCCCGAAGGGCCCCTTTCGGGCCCTCATCCTCACCCCCCCCCCACGTGTGCCACCCGCCATCACCACCCGCCCGATTCTGAGGAGGCCTTCTCTTTCTCACTTCCCCCCCCCCCTCGCTCGCCGCCGACCCCACCCTCCGAGGCGCCAACTGGGCGAACGGGGCCCAGCGCCGACCCCTCGAAGTCGGCGCGACCTCCCACGGATCAACGCCCGCGGTTTCCTGGTGGCGGCTACTCTCGGCGAGGCGGGGTCTGCCCTCGGGCTGCGCTGGAGGGAGGGAAGGGGGGAAGGGTCGGCGGCTAGCGAGGGGGGGAGGGATCGGGGGCGGTGGGGGCGTGAGAGCACCCGCGCCCTCTCGCTGCGCTTTCTGTGTACGTTTCGGATGCCGCGCCCGCCTCGAGCGCACAGTGGGCGGGGCACGGGGGGGGAGGCGGAGGGAGCGCCAGGTCGGCGGCGAGCGAGGGGGGGAAGTGAGAAGGAGATGACCTCATCAGAAGGCGGCGGGACTTCTCAGAAGCCCTCGCGCCTTCTGGGGAGTTTTCTGTGTCTTCGGGGGAGGCTAAGGAGACTTCTCAGAAGGCCCGTGGACTTCTGAGCCTTCTGAGAAGGCCCGCCCCTTCTCACAGCCCCCCTTCGCCCGCTGCCGCAAGGGGGGGGGAGACGGTCTGGACGTCCTCGCCGCCCTGCGCCTGGTCAATCTCGGCTCGAGCCCCTGGCTTTGGTGCGTTTCGGCGCGCGGTCGTCCTTGGCGGCGGTCCTCGCCCTCCTGCTTCCCCCCATCTCCCGGGGAGGTAGCCCCCCCGCGGTCCACGCAGCTGCGGAGAAGTGCGAGGGGTCGGCGGCGCCGTCGGCAGTCTGCGAGGCTCTGGAGAAGCACGCCGCAGGCTTGGATTTCACACCTTACACCACACGGCCGACGCAGGCGCCGCATTCTCGCTACAGCAATGCAGGTTGCTCCGAGGTGGGTCGCGGGGGGGTCACGGGCGGGTGGTGGGTTGGTCGCGGGCGGGTCGCGTGGAGGGCCGCGGGTGGGTCGCGGGCGGGTCGCAGTCGGGTCGCGGTTGGGTCGCGGGCGTCACCGAGGAAGCCGACTTCAGGCACGCATCCAGGAATGGTGTAAGGCCGCTCGGCCTCTCACTGTGATTAGAATGAATGAGGATGTGGCAGGGGGAGAGGGGGATGAGGTTCCAGGGGTGTGGGATGCGGGAGGGGGGAGGGGATGAGGTTCAGGGGGGCCGTCCTTTCCTCCTCCCTCCATCCCTCCCTCCTCCCTCCCTCCTCCCTTCCTCCCGCCATCTTCCTCCTTTTGCTCTTCCTGCTCGCTCCCTCGTAGTTCCCTCCCTCCTCCCTTCGCCTCCCCCCCTCCCTCCCTTCCCTCCCTTCCGCCCTCACCCCTCCTCCTAGCCGCCCTCATCGTCCGATGGAGGCGCAGAGGTGGGCCGAGGTGCTGCGGCAGGCAGCGTCGGCGCCCGGCGGCGCGGTCTACGTTCAGCAGGACGTCGTCGGCCTCTCCGACGCCGATGCCGCGGCACCGCTGGTGGCGGCGTTCGCGCCGCTGGGCCCCGAGGGCGAGGGGTTCATCCTGGCAGGGCTCTCGGCCTGCGCGCGGACCTCTCCCTCGGAGGTGGTCCTGGCTGGCCTCGGCAGGGCCCCCCCGAAGCCGCCCCCCGGCGGCCTCGGCACCCTTGGGCGCTGAGGGCCGCCCCAGGGCTGGCCGCAAAGCCCGTGGAGGCCAGCCAGGACCACCCGGGGGGGGGCTGCCTGCGCGCACCCCCCAGCCGTGCCAGTGCATTTCGGTGTGCTCCCACGACGAGGCCTCGCCCGACGAGCGGGCGAGGGGGCGCCCCCTGCTGCTTCAGTCCAGCTTCAAGCCGCTCGTCTACGCCATGGTGCTCGAGAGCGGCCTCGGCGGGGAACTCGAGCGCGCCGTCGGCGACGAGGGGGACCGCGGCTTCGCCGACCCAGGCTCCACCTCCGACGGCCGCGCCTTCAACCCGCTGATCAACTCTGGCGCGCTGGTGGCGCTGGAGCTTCTGTCGAGGCGGTACAGCGTCGAAGAGGTGGGCGCCTGGTGCTGCGGTCGCACGGACGGCGGCGCGGACCCCTCGCAGCCGAGGCTATTCGATCCCAGAGCCGTGGCGGCGACGATCGCCGACTCAGCCAGGAACCGTCGGCTGTGCGCTGGCCTGGCGGCGGCTGGGCTCATGCCTGCGGAGGAGGCCGCAACCGAGCGGGCCGTGGTGTACTACGCGCACATGGACTGCCTGCTGCTCACCGTGGGGCAGCTCGCCGCCGTCGCGCGCGCTTTCGCGCGGACTGCGGAGGGCCCCGGCGGCGACGAGGCAGCCGCCTCGGGCGCTGCGAGGTGTTCCTTAGAGTGCAGCCTGGGCACAGTCCGACGCGTCCGCGAGGTAATGCTCCGATGCGGCATGTACGAGGCGAGCTCGGCGTGGCGCAGCAGCGGGGGGCCTCCGGCCAAGAGCGGGGTCTCCGGCGTGGTGTGGGGCTCCGTCGAGGGGGTCGGGGGCCTCTGGAGGAAGAGCAAATTGTATACACATACACTTTCGGAGCTCCGCGCGGATTTCTTGGATCTGTGCTGTCCCCCCCCCCTCTTCCCTCCCTGGCGCGCGGATTGCGCCCGGGGCGGCGCCGCAGGCGCCGTAAGGGGCACTTGGCGCCGATCCAAGAACGCCGCGCGGAGCTCCGACAGCTTATGGCTCATGCATTTATTTCTGCCTCCAACCTCGCGGCGCACCAGCCGCGCATCGACGCGGTGGGCAACGGGGTGCAGGCCACAGCGCTGCTGCAGGCGGCCGCGCGGGAGCTGCGGGCGGGAGGGCGGGGGCAGGCGGGTGCGGGCTGATCGCCCTGCCGCGGCGCTCCCGAAAAGCTCGGCGCCGCGCGCGCGGGGGTGGGGTGGGGGCGGCCAGGGCGGAGCGGCACGGGGCCGACGGGCGCGGGCGGAGCGCCCTGCCGCGGGGTGGGTGGGCCCGCACGACCCGCAGCCTCGTGCCCCATGCCATTATCCCCTCCCTGCGCCTTTCCCTGCGCCAGCCTCCCTTCTTTTTTTGCAGCCTCCCTCCCCCTTCCCTCTCGTGGGCCTATCATCGACATGCGTTATGCACGAGGTGGGCCTCGCTATACCTTCAGTCGAGTATTGCGTTGATGAGGGTGTGGTGTAATGTATTTGCCGCAAGGTGCTCAGGGTCTTCCACGGCGTCTTCGTATTGCTCTTGCTGGCCACGCCCGCTCAGAGTTGCTTTGCGTCGTTGATGAACAAATGTCGTCCTCGGCATCCTCATGCGCTTCCTTCTGGGGGCGCGCCCAGAGGACCAGCGAGTGGGAATGGTCGGACGGGCCCCGAGCTTTCCTTTCGTGGGCGGTATCAGCCCTGTCCCCTCCCCCTTTTCCTCCTCCATCTCCACTCCATCTTCCTACCCCCATTCCTTTGCCTCCTCATCTCCTCGTCGTCGTACCATCTCCTCGTCGTCGTACATATGGCGGCGTGGACGAGGCGCAACGTCGTTGGAAACTACAGCCGAGCTTTCGACCTCGTCCCCGTGCATGGTTTTCCGAGCCAGATAGGCCCGTGAGGGTCCCAGGGGCCCAAGACGGAACGAGGGCGCATATCGTGATTCAAGAGGCTTGAGACATCCCACCAGCCCCCGAAAAAGGTGAACGAGCGATGTGATCAGTTCTGCTTCCCGCTTTCTTAACAACCCATGTGTGACGGTTTCCAGCCGAACAGTCGGGCGAAAGGAAGTGTTTCGGTGCAGAGCACAACAGAGGCCAGCGACCCTGAACTTATGATAATCAGGGAGACTCTTGGACTCTTGGGGGTTTGTTCGAGTTGTCGTCTGGTTGGGACCCCCTTGAGGCCTCTTTTAGTTTTCCGCGGACCCTTTTCGGGGCCGTGGGGCCCGTTTGGGGCCATCCAGGAGACCAGCGGCCCAACAAAGGGGGAGTCCAAAGTTTGCTCCCTCCCCTGTCAGGGCTTGAATGCTCGCCTCTTCGGGTTCTCCGAAGGCGCTCTTGAGGTCGCGTTGGCAGGCCTTCGAGGGTGTTTTGGAGCGATCATGGGCCCCTCTTGGAGCTCTCTTGGGCGATCTTGGGGCCATCTTGGGGTATCATCGCAGGAGCTCATCGGAAACGAGCAACACCAAACTTCGACAAGCCTAAGGTTTTGATGGTTTCAGCCTCGTGAGAATGTCCTTTGGAAGCTCCGTGGCACCCCCTGGCCGTTCAGGAACTCTTTTGGAACCGTCGAGGAGGGTCGAGGAGGGACGCAGGCAGTTTCCAATACCCGATATCACGGGCTGTATCGGCAGCCCTCTCCTGGATACCACTTGCCACAGCGCGTCGATCGTGGTAGATCTCCAGGTCTGCGGTCCCAGATGGCGTCTAGGGTATCGTAGAAGATGTGTGGGCTCTGGTATCACGGGGAATTCTGCGAAGAGCTCATGAACCTTTTCCGCCTTCCCTCGCCTTCGAACTGGATTGTGGACCCCCAGGGAGGGGAAACGGGTGTCGTCTGATTCTGTCACAAGGCCCGGGTGTCAGGGGTTGCTCCCGTCGGTGAAGGTTGCATCCCCAGAATGGCCTTGTTCGCCGCGGATCGATTCTTGGCAGTCCCAGTGCCCGAAAGCGGCCCCCCAGAGGCCTAAGACGTGCAACGATGCCCTGTTGCGTCGTCGTTGCCGTCGCCATCGTTGCCGTCGACGTCGCACTTGCCGCAGCCGTCGTCGCGCCGTCGTCGTGCACTTCCTTTGGCGAGGACGGGCCCTCTGCTGGAGTGGCCATGACCTCTGCGCTGCTGAGCCTGGCGCTGGACAAGCCCGTGAAGCCGGCCGCGCCCTCAGCAGACGGGGTCCAGTCCTTCTCGCGTCTCGCAGAGGACAGGGGAGGATCCTCTCCTCATGCTCTTGCTTTTTCTTCTCCCCCTCCTCCTCCTCTTCCTCCTCCTCCTCCTCATCCTCTTCCTTTCCTGAGCCCTCCAGGGTGTTCTCCTCGTCGCCACGGCATGAGGCATCTCGGAAAACGGGTCGGGATGGTGCCCTCGCTCGGATTCCCGCTGGGGGGGGGAAGGGTATGGAAAGGGAGGGAGAGCAGGGATAGGAGGACGTGTTAGTGTTACATCAAAGGTCTTGCACATTTCCGCTGGGCGAGCAGTGCGGAGGGAGGGGGAGGAGGAGGATGATGAGGAGGAAGAGGAGGAGGAGGAGGAGAAGGAGGAGGAGGAGGAGGAGAAAGAGGAGGAGAGGCATAAGACGGAGGGACGCCCGCCGACGCGCGCCCATCGGGCCAGGTCCTTCATTCTGGGCGGAGGATTGATGGGGGCTGATGATCGTGGTAGTGATGATGAGGAGGGACGTCAAGGTCCGAGATGTCGTCTTTGAGACTGCGAGACAGGGTCAGCTTCAAGAAGTTGACCGTTCACTTAGAAGGACGGCGGCAGAGAAGGGCGAGGAGCGCGCCCAGCGGATCCAGGAGTTGACCGGCCCGTCCAACGAGGCGCCCGAAGGCGGGGTCAAACGCCAGCGAGACCACCGGGCTAGGCCTAGGAGGATCTTGCAGTACTTCACCGCCGCCCACGGTAACGCGGTCGGCAACTTCAGCAATGTCAAGACGTTTCCGGCTGGCGACATGAAGGAGGCTATCCACCGGGTTATTAATGAGGCGGGTCGCAGGCTCACCAAGTGAGGCGCGTACACGCATGATTATCGAAGTCGCCTTCCCGACTTGGGCCTCGCGTTGATTCCAGAGCGAGCTGGCCCGTACTGCTGCATTTAGGCTTAACCCGCTATGCCACCAAGGGCACATCTGGGGTAGGAAGAGTCCCAGAGAGCCACCAAAGACTCGCCATAGGCCCAGGCCTGGCGCCCTCGACGAAACACATCATCAGCACATCATCATCATCATCATCATCATCATCATCATCATCATCATCACCATCATCACCATCACCACCACCATGATCACCATCACATCATCATTAGCATCATCAGCATCATCAGCATCATCATCAGCATCATCATCACCATCACCATCATCACCATCATCACCATCATCATCATCATCGTCATCATCAGCATCAGCATCAGCATCGCCATCGTCGTCATCATCATCATCACCATCATCATCCCGGGCCCGCGTATCCGTGCGCCCGCGTATCCGTGCGCCCGCGTATCCGCGGGATCGCACCCCAGTGTCCAGACCGTGAGGGCGCGGATGCAAATGTGTTCGCCGCCCCTGTCATGCATGACGATCGAGTTTGCTTTTCCGACTTGGGCGTCGCGTTGACTCCAGGGCTGGCGGGCTCAGCTGCTTGGGCCGCTTGGGCCGCCAGAGGTGCAGTCTGCAGAGCCGGAGGCGTGCCGCGACCGCCCCCCGTCACTCCAGGACTTGGCGCCGGCGGTTGACCCCAAGGGCGATGTACAAGGCTCGGCTACGCCTAAGATTACCGAGCGCGTTCCACTACTCGTAAAGTGCCTACTCGCAAACGTACGAAACAGAACATATCTTTCTCTATATCCTGGAGCGTAAATCCTTCGCGGCGGATTTTGGCCATTTGCGAGTAGCTCCTGTGCGAGTAGTGGAACGCGCTTGTCGAGACGAGTGACTCTTTGCCAGAGCGACTTCTGGTGCGGGCTCACAGGGCTCTCCCAGCACCAGCCTGCGCGCCTGCGCGATCGGGCGACCATGATCGCCAGCAGCCAGGGCTTGTTGAAGGTCCGCGTGGCAGAACTGGCTTTCGAGCCAGCGGCCCACGCTATGCTCCGAGCGCGCGACCGCGGGCGATTTCTCGCCCGCGACCCCTGAGAGTTCCCCTCACAACGCGCCGGTGGCTCAGACAAGGACTGGGAGCTCGGGGATGCACTCGCTGAGGGCTGTTCGGACGCACCGCTGTCAAAGAGGAGCGCCCTCCATCGCTGGCGCAGTCGGAGGTCCTGCGGAGTCGGGGATAGGGGCCACGCCCCCCCCCCCCGCGGTGCAGCCCAGGCCGGAGGAGTGCTGTCATCTTGGCAAGGAGCGCCGCGACATTCTCAGGTCCCCGCGGCAGGCGCGCGCACAAACGCCGAGAGCCACCTCCTCGTGGGGCTACTCGACCCAAGCGGGGCCGCGTTGCAGTCGGGCCGCTGAAGAAGGACGCCTCCTCGTTGGGGAGAGGGGCTTCAGTGTTCTTTCGTTGTCTTACAGTTTGTCTCAGGCTCTCCTGAGGTCTCCGATGGGGATTCGAAGTTGAAGCAATTGGGAAGAAGGGGCCTCGCGCCTTCTTGGGCCTTCTATGGGAGGTCGACGCAAGCTTATGGAAAAACAGGGGCCTCGTCCATTATCTGGAGCTCCGTATGGCAGCGCTCCGACGGGAGCTCACGAGCCCTCCCCTGCGCGCGAGCTCTCGGTCTGGCAGGAGCTTATCGGTCGGCGACGCGCGGCGCCCAGCGGAGGGCCACGGCGACGGGGCCAATGTGAGGAGGAGGAGGCGGAAAAGTCTGAGGAGGCGGAGAAGGAGGAGGAGGAGGCGGGGCCAAGGCGAGGAGGTGGAGGAGGAGGCGGAGAAGTCTGAGGAGGAGGAGGAGGAGGAGGAGGAGGAGGAGGAGGAGGGGGAGGAGGAGGAGGAGGAGGATCGAGGTCGGCTCGGGGAGGGTACCCTGATTCTCTTCGTGTGGGTTGGATGTTCTCGTGCATCCTGGAGAGGGTACCCGTGTATGTTCTGCTTGGCTTGGCTGCCGGAGGGTCTCGTGTTCTCGAGGGATGCTATTCTGGCCCAGGTCCGACCATACGCCCATCTCCAGGGCATGCTCGGTCTCGACCGGAACCCGCCGATGGAGATCCTCGACCTCCTCTCCTGGCTTCGCTCGGACGTGTCCATTTTTTCTCGGCGAAGACCATGCGCGGGGAATCGACGTGCGAGCGACGGCAAGCCCCATGATGTCCGGCTTTCATCCCCACTCGTCACCCGGGTGCACCGTGTTCGTCCAGAGAACCCCAGCCAGACATGAGCGAGGTGTAGCTAGAGTTAAGTCGGGTCTGTCCTTCTACAGGAGAATAGTCAAAAATAGTCAAAAAATAGTCAGAGGACGATTTTTTAGTATGTTTGATTATGTTTGCGTATGTTTTGAATGTTTCTTATTTTTCGTCCAACGTCCGCCTGTAGGAGGACACGCCCGACCTAAAGCTATCGCTCTTGCTAATCTTGGGGTGTGTGCTCTGGACGGAGTCGTGGGCCCGACCACATTTAGGGTCGTGCAGAGCTTTGAGGGGTGCCCCATTGAGCAGTACTTCGGTGAGGCGTGCCGCGGCCTTGCTACCATCCGGTTCGTAAACGCCACGTTGGCCGATCAGTGCGTCGAAGTCATGGGCGTCTTAGAGGTTTGCAGTACGAGGCAACACGCGTCCACCCAGAGGATGAATGTTTGGCGCAGCGCGGAAGCGACAACTGGTACCAGTCCGCCCTTGCCGCAGACCGTTCCAGGAGCGAGCGCGGGATACCTCGTCGCCTCGATCGGCTGCTGATTCGTAACGTTGGGCTCAGGGCCCGGCGCACCTTGGCTTGCGTGGATGCCCTCGGAGGATCAACCGTTGCTGTTCCAAGAGTCGAGGAGGCTGGTCAACATTTGGTCTGGGGCCGCAACGCGCCAGAAACTTTGCAGTGCAGCCCAAGTTGATCGCGTTGCAAGTTTTACATAGCTGCTGTGTCGCGGTTACTGGACCACCTGCGGCAGGTACGATGATTTGTGGATCGCTCAGTTAAGCACGGGCCCTCGAATATTGGCGCGCATGATTGTCGCGAGGCTCGCGTTAGCCAGGGGCAGCCAGGCGTAGCCCTCGTCGTTCCTGTGATAAGCCTTCCGAGGATCTTGCGGGATGTGGCAAGGGCGATGGCGATGTTGTTGATGGTGATGATGATGATGATGAGCATGGTGCTGACCACGACGATGATGTTGTCAATGTTGCTATGCCACTACTGATGGCGAAGGCGATGACGACGGCGATAACAGTGATGATGCTAACGATGATGACGATGCTAATGATGATGATGCTGATGATGATGATGATGATGAGGAGGATCATGATGGTGACGATGCTGATACTGATGGTGATTGTGGTATTGACGATGCTGGTGTTGGTGGTGCTGATGATTCTGACGGTTATGATGATGTTTGTGATGTTGATGATTATGATGATGGTGATGGCGATGACGATGCTGATGTAGATGATGATGTTGATGATGACGATGACGAGGATGTTGCTGCTGATGATGATTGTGATGATGACGACGATGACGATGACGACGACGATGCTGATGACCATGGTGTTGATGCTCATGAGTATGAGGAGGATAATGGTGCGAATTGTGATTAGGAGGAAGATGAGGGTGATGATAAGCATCATTATGTTGGTGATGAACGCTGGGGAGGAAGTGGATACTGAGGAGGACGCGACAGGGTAGGAGGAGGAGAAGGAGGAGGAGGAGGCGGAGGAGGAGGATGAGGAGATGGGGGAGGAGGACGAGAAGGGATGATGCGGACGAGGTAGATGCCAGGGACCTCGGGGGATTCAGAGGGATTCCACGGGCTTTGACGGGCCAGTGATGATGAGGAGGAGCACGGGAAACCAAGGAGACAGCATAATTTTGCGTGTGATGTTTGCGGTGATGATTGAGATGAGATGATGCGGGGATCTGTTCGTTGCTTCCGCGGGGTGCCAAGGACATGGCCATGACCGGGGAGCTCACGCTGACAGGGAAGATTCTCCGCGTCGGAGGCTCCTGGGTGGCTCTTATTCTCCCCCCCATGTTCCCTCTCTTGTCCCTTGCCCCTCCCGCTCCCCCTCACATCGTCGTCCCGTCGTCGAGTCCGTGGTCGTGGTGGTGGGGGTCCTGTGGATGGGCTGTCGAGACACGCTTCTCCCCCTTCTCCCCCGTTCCCTCCCTTCCCCCCCCTTCCTCGCCCCACCGCAGCCACCACCACCGCCGCACCCCCCCACCGCCACCACCAGCGCACCCATTCACCCACTCACCCACTCGCCTACCCACCCACCCCAAACAAACACAGACACACAGACACACAGACACACAGACACACAGACACACAGACACACACACAGACACACACACACACACACACACACGCGTGCGCGTACACGCAGACACACGCACACCCACACACGCGCGCACACATACACACACACACGCACACCCGCACACCCGCACACCCACACCCACACCCACACCCACACCCACATCCACACCCGCACCCACACCCACATCCACACCCACACCCACACCCGCTCCCGCCCGCCCGCCCACCCGCACGCCCGCACGCACGCACGCACACACACAGAGACAGACAGACAGACAGACAGACAGACAGACAGACAGACAGACAGACAGACAGACAGACAGACAGACAAAGAGACAGACAGACAGACAGACAGACAGACAGACAGACAGACACACACACACACACACTCACACACATGCACACACGCACACGCACACACGCACACACGCACATACGCACACACGCACACACGCACACACACGCACACGCACACACGCGCACACGCGCACACGCGCACACGCGCACACACGCACACACGCACACACGCAACAAACAGGACAACTCACACAACACACAACACACACATATACATACAGACACACGTAGACACACACACACCTAGACACGCACAGACGCACACACAGACACACACGCAGACAGACACAGACACAGACTCACAGACGCACACAGACACACATACACGCAGACACATACAGACATACACACGCGCACAACAAGCACTCCCAGACACACACACACACACACACGGACACACACACAAACACACAGACACACGCACACACACATTTTCTCAGACACGCACAGACACACAAACAGGCACACACACAGACACACACAGGCAGACACAGACACAAGCAGACACACAGACGCACACAGGGACACACACACACACATACACGGACACACACAGACACACACACGTGCAGACACACAGACACACAGACGCACACACAGCTCGTGGACGCCATTTGAGGTAGCTCAGTGGTTTCACGTTTGCACTGAAGCCGATTTTGTCATTGTGCTGCTGTGTCGGCTCCCCCTAGCGCTGTAACAAACAAACACACACACACACACGCATACAAACACACACAGGTACAGACACAAACACACACAAGCAGACACTCACGCAGACACGCACACACAGACACACACAGACACGCACACACACAAACACACACATACACAGACACACAAACAGACACAGAGAGAGAGAGAGAGAGAGACACACACACACACACACTGACACACACACACATACACACATACACACAGGCACCTTTCTGCGATCGCGACTCGGAGGAGGAGTTGCGAGGATGAGGAGCGAGGAGGAGGAGCGAGAAGGAGCGAGGAGCGAGGAGGAGGAGGAGGAGGGAGGAGGTGAAGAAGAAGGAGGAGGAGGAGGAGGAGGAGGAGGGAGGAGGGAGGAGCGATGAGGAGCGAGGAACGAGGAGCGAGGAGGAGAGGAAGGGGGCCTCCCCCGCTGTGCGCCGCCGCTCCCGAGCTCGTGTGCGCGGGCGCCCCCCTCGGTCCCCCGGGCACGTCGCCCGTCCTCCCGCGCCCCGCCGAGACCGCCGTGCAGCTCGACGAGGATGTCGCATTCGCTCGGGCGTGCGCGATTTTGCATTTTTGCTCGCGGCGAGGACCATCGAGGAGCATCCTGGGCCATCTCGCGTGGAAAAAACAACCGAGAGATGCACGGGGCATGGACATCCGAGCGATGGCAAGAGGAGGGCTTCTGTGCGAGGGAGAGGGGTGGATGAGAAGGACGATGGGATGGTGATAAAGAGGAGGAGGAGCAGGAGGAGGAGGAGGAGGACAGGCAGAGATAGAAGGGGGAAGGGGGCTGGGTGGAGGGGGCTGGGTGGACGGGGATGGGGAGGGGAATGGGGGGTAGAAGGAGGATGCTCACGACTGCGATTAGGTTGAGGGGCAAGATGTTGGGGATGGGGAGGAAGAACAGGGGACGATGATGCTGATGATGCTGCTGCTGCTGATGATGATGATAATGATGATGATGATGATGATGATGATGATGATGATGATGATGATGATGATGATGATGATGATGATGATGATGATGATGATGATGATGATGATGATGATGATTATGATGCTGATGATGATGCTGATGCTGATGCTGATGCTGATGATGATGGTGGTGGTGATGATGATGATGATGATCATGATGATGATAACGATAAGGAGGAGGAGGAGACGGAGGATGAGGAGGAGCAAACCGTGGAGCGCAGTCAGCGCGCACGGCTGGTCCATCTCAGCACCTTGCCGAGGCATCAAGGAGAAGGCGATAGCCGCGCGGAGGGAGAACGTGGGCACCATTGTGCTGCCGATGTCCAACCAGGCGGATTACATGGAGATCAAGCCGCACCTGCGTGCAGGCCGCTCTGGCGCGCGTGCGCGTGCGCGTGAGGGCGTCGTGTTGGCACCGCCCTGCCCAGAACGTCGCCCGCTGGCTACTTGAAGCGGGAGGTGTTGGAACCGTTCACTGCTCATCAAGCCACCCCAACCCAACCCGAAGGCACCAAGTGGCCCTCCACTCCCTGTGGGGGGGGGCATCCCGGAACGTCGACAAATACACGGAGATGGCACCCGTACGCCCACCAATCAGAAATTCGGGACGTCGGGTCGGGGTGGTTTGAACGGCCGGCAATGGCACCGCCCCGTCTTCCCTCGAGGCCCTCACCCGCTTTTCCACCAGGGGCGCTCCCGCTTCCGCGCGCATGCCTGCGCAGGCGGAGGCCCCCACCTCCGCTTCTGCCGCGCTCCCCGGGTCCCCCGCGGGGGCGCGAAGACCATCGCGCTTCGCTCGGCGGCGAAAGCCGAACCCTGCCCTCGCCGATCAGCGAGGCAGTCAAGTCGGTGGGCGGCGGGGGGAGGGTCTGGAATTCGTCGAGCATGTGGCGAGATCCGAACCCTGCCACCGCGTCCCATCTACTCAGAGGCTCGATGGTTGGTGGGGGTAGGCATCAGATTCGGGAAATAGAAATGGCATGAACATAAACTACCTCGGAGGTCCGTGCAGATTGCTCGGACCGGCGCTGCAGCCCCCTGGCGGCGCCTCCGGCGCCGCACCTGGCGCGCTCCCCGCGCCAGGGAGGGGGGTCCAGCGCGGATCCCAGAAGTCCGCGCGGACCTCCGAATTCTTATGTTCGTGTTAGTGTCTGTTCCTCTACAGTTGTCGTCACCTACGGTGGGGGCGTTCGTTAAGGAACGTGTCCAGGAGGCTTCAGACGATTGAGGGTTCCTTATCTGATGAGGGCGGCGGTGATATCCGTGGCCAATCCACGATTGGAGTGCCCCTGGCTTCCAGATTCTGGATTCCTGATCGAAGGTCTCCTCATCCGATGCCACCACCGCGTTCGCGCTTCCCGTTCTGGGCCGGAGGGCTCCGTCCAGGTGGCGGCGCGAGGGCACGAAGATCAGGCGCGCTGCGCGCCGTCGGAGAGGTGCGTTATCGGGCGGCGTAGCTGCCCTCTGCAGCCTAGCGTTAAATCCCCCTACGCGAAAAATTAGCAAAATGTTCGAACATGGGCCGGAGATGATTGTTGACCATGTTTGCCTAGTTTCGTGTATGTTTTTGACTCTTGCTTTCCTTTTTCTTCAAACATCCGCCTGCAGGAGGACATGTCCGACCTAAGCCCAGCCATCGGAGCTGCCTTTCGGGTTGTGGGCCCGATGTTCTTGCGGCTCGACGAGTTGCCTTGATCAAGGGGGTGGAGGAGCGTACGCTGGATCAAAGAGCTGGGACGCCACCAAACCGAAGTTTGTGAACCACACGTGCCTTCGCGGATCTGTCGAACGAGGAAGGGCGGAGGCGAAGGACGAGGCGGCGGGCGGACGAGGAGGAAAGGGAAGACGAAAACGAGGAGGGGGAGAGGGATGACAAGAAAGGGAAGCGGAGAAACAGGAGGAGGAGGAGGTGGAGGAGGAGGAGGAGGAGGAGGAGCAAGAGGAGGAGGAGGAGGAGGAGGAGGAGGAGGAGAGGGAGGAGGAGGAGCAGGATGACGAGGAGGATGGCGAGCAGCAGGAGGATGGGCTTGATTGAACACGTTCTCACTCAATTTCGGGTTCACCCTAGTTGGGAGGAGGATGGGGAGGATGAGGAGAAGGAGGAGGAAGGGTGAGGACGAGGAGGAGACTGAGGATGATGGGGGAGAAGGCGACGACGACGGCGACGACGGCGTCGTCGTCGTCGACGACGACGACGATGGCGACGATTCAGACATACAGGCATGTGCGGACCTTCGCTCGGGGCCCCTCTCGGAGGCTCTTGCAGCCATTCTTGGGGCCCGCTTGGGACCATTTTGGGACTTCCTGAGCCGTCTTAGGGGCGTCTTGGGGTCTCTCGGGGCCATCTTGGAGGACATCGATCATAGAAGGAGTGGTTCCCGATTTACCTGCCCCTCTTGAGTCCCAAGCGTCGCCTCTTGGGGCCCCTTAGATCGCTCTGGGGGGGCTCTTGGGTGCTCTCGGGGCCGTTTTGAGGCCTTCTTGGGCCTTTCTTGGAGCCCGCTTCGGCCATCTTGGAGCCATCTGTTCCAGGCGTTGGATGGATTTGGGCCTCTTGTGGGGGCCTCCATGGGGAGCTCCGTGGCCGTTTAGAGCGCCCCTGCCCGAAGGGGAAGAAGGCGGTTGGAAAAGGAACCGCGCTAGACCACCTGGTGGGATTCCGTGGGAGCAACAACTGCCAGGATGGGCTTGGAGCCACCGTTGAGAGTAAGATGCTGCCTTGCCTGCAGTCTTCCCCAGAAAACCGCCAGTTTCTCGGCATCCAGGTTGATTCGAAAACGTGCTCATGATTCAAGTATTCCGAGTGTGCAAGGGCCACTCTGGTTTCGGAAGGGGCTCGAGGTTCCTAAGGTCATTCCTGAGGTCATTCTTCGGGCGCTCCTTGTGAGCCTCGGCGCAGCTCGGCCACATACACATCCGTGTGGCAAGACTTCGGCGGTGCTGCCCAGAGATGTCCGATAGCTGGTGCGGGCTTCCCGGCCAGCCCTGCTAGGTTCCCCAGCCGAGGACTTCCTTCTGCCTGCCGGGCTCCGTCCCTCCTCCTCGTCCGGGTGCCCGTCCGCCACTGGGCGGGGCGGGGTGTGCGGCCAGGAGAGCATTCATACATACTCTCTGTTGTTTTGTTTTGTTGCATCGTTTCCTATAGACGCCCCAAACCTGCCGACTTGGAGCCACAAATTAGCGCACGATGGGCTCGAGGCAATGCTGCACCTGAGTTCCTGATCCGGCAGGCTGGCGGGCGGATGGTCTTCCACGCTTCGCTCTTGCGTCGGCGACTTGGATGCAGGGATGGGCGTCCTGGCTGGCGATCGAATCTCGTTCGAAGGAGCACTAGCATTTGAGGCTTGTTATTTGTACCCGTATCATATTCTCGCTATGCACGACAACCGCAGCTCCTTGGAGGTCAGAGGAAGCATTGGCCCGAATATCTCCGTGATGCCAGTCTGGGCGTATCTTGTTTACGCCAGCTCAACTGGGCTTATTCTCGGGCTTGATCTGCTCTAGTCCCGGTCAATCGTCCCATATTCTTGGCAGAGTTATGAGGGATCCACGACTAGCCCCGACTGCCCCCCCCCGGTTGCGGGATTCCTGACTCTCTTGGGGACCGGCAGAATTGTCGGCTGATCGCCGTTGTTGACGAAGGAACAACACCCACCCATAACCATAGTGGGGACGGAGGGGGGCTACGGGTGCATGTTGTCGGTTGGGGGTCCCCGCTCGAATGGAAGCCTCCCCCGCGGTCCGACAACCCGCACCCACACCCATAGCCAGTCTTCCTCTCTCCGATCCCCCTATTGGTATGGGTATGGGTGTGTGTATTGTTCGTTCGTCGGTTATGTTCGGGATGCCGGGGTCGACGCTCGAGAGAAGCGCGCCGTTTCAGGCCGGGTCCTGGGCCCTGGAGGGGCCCCGAGTCTTCGCGTTCCCTGCTTCCACCTGCCCGAGCGCACGACGCTAGTTCTGTTCCCGCGCGCATTTACTTGCACGGCTCTTAGGCACCGCTTGCACGGGGGGGTTGTTGCAGTTCCAAAGATCTGCCTGGCTGCCCTGATATGGCCGCCCTCGCCCAACACGGAGAGGCAATCAAGCCGATCTCCCAGATGCGGCCATGTCGTTCTCACCCCCCGCGCTCCGATATAGATGATCTCCGTGGTTCGCCACTTGCCCCGACTAGCCCCGCCGATTTGGTAGCTTGAGATTCCCGCTGGGTCGAGCCACCCCCGTCAGGTTCAATTAGCCCCGCGTTGGCTTCCTTAGGTTTCCTGTGACATCCCATGGCTTCCCAGTCCTCACCGCTTGGGGTCCACGCGCTTGTACCATTTGCTCACTGATTCACCCTGCGGAGCAATCCCGCAGGGCCACCTCCCTGTGGCATGGCCATGCTGTGGCAGATCTACTGCGGGCAAGACTTCTACCCAGATCCACTGCGTCTTGTACTTTCTGGGAAGGGGCGCCAGAAGGTCGAGGCGCCATGGATGTGGATGAAAATCTAGCCTCTGGGGGCCAGAGTTCTGCCCATGTCCGCGGCCTCTGCTCTCTGGGGGAGGGAGCCCGAAACTCCAAGACGCCGTGGAGATGGGAACAACTCTTGGCCGCACCTACCCTCCAGCAGTTTCGGATCAAGGCGCAGAGCTGCGGCCGGGCCGCCCTCCGCCCCGCGAGCCGCCCGCGGCCGCACATGGCCCCAGCACTGGCCGGCGGCGACCCGCTGCGCGGGCGCGCGCCGGCGCGGCCCCGCCCGCTCGGCGGGCGGCCCCTCCGCACCCCCCCGGACGGCGCGCCGCGCGAGGGCCGCGGCGGCAGCGGCGTGGCGGCGCGAGGCACGGCCCGCTTGGCCGTCGCTCGCCTGGCCGCCGCCGCCTCGGCGATCTTCGGCGCCCGCCGCGCCCGGCTGAGCGGGCTGCCGAGGCCTGCGGGCGCGGCCGCCGGGCAGGCGCGGCCCGGGGCCGCCTTCGCGAGCGCCGCGCCTCGCTGGCCGCGGAGGGAGATGGCCCAGGCGGCCTGGCGGCTCCTGGAGCGGCGAGACGTCTGGCTGCTGGCCGCGGGCGCCGGGGCGCTGCTGGCCGCGTCGCTGCTGGAGCTGCTCGTGCCGCCGCTGGCCGCGTCGGCGCTCTTCCGCATCGTGGAGCAGCGACCGTGGGCGGACGTGCTGGAGCGCATCGGCCTGCTGACGGCTGTGACGGCGGGGTACTCGCTGATGAATGGGTCGTACAGCCTCATGTTCCACTCGGTGCGCAACGCCTTCGTCAGGAGGCTGCGTGAGGAGGCGTTCAGGACGCTGCTGTTCGAGGGCATGGCTTTCCATGACCAAACGGACCCGGGTGAACTGACCACCCGTGTATTTCGAATACGAAACAACAGCATGAACATAAACTTTCGGAGCTCCGCGTGGATTTCTTGGATCGGCGCTGGACCCCCCTTCCTGGCGCGCGGAGCGCGCCAAGGGCGCCGCCAGGGGGGTCCAGCGCAGATCCAAGAAATCTGCTCGGAGCTTCAACGGTTTATGTTTTTGCAGTTGTTTCTTCTTCTGGTATCGGCAGACAGTCAGGCAGTGTTCAACGCGCTGAACGAGGTGCTGAATTTCCTGCTCCGGTCTGCCGTGCTCACTGTCTGTGGCATCGTCGCCTTGCTTCGAATATCAGTGCATGTTACGGTGGGTGTCTCCGCCGTCTTGATGGCGTTGGCTGTCTGTACTGGGTGGTACGCAGGAGTCAGCCAGCGAGCCGCGCGCAGCACGCAGGACGCGATGGCAGGTCTCAACCGCATCGCAATCGAGAGCCTGAGCATGCTGCGCACCGTCCGGGCGCTGGACGCCGAGTCGGTGCACAGTCGCTTGTACTCGGACATGAGTCGGGAGGCGTTTGAAATCCAGCGGAGGCGTGGCCTCGCTTCTGGCATCTTCAGCGCCGCCACCACCAGCCTCACAACGCTGGCGCGCGCCGTGGCGCTGCTGACTGGGGGCCTGTTATTGCTGAGGCCAGGCAGCATCATAACTGGCGAGGTGCTCACGACATACCTGTTCTACCTCGACGCGGTCACGGAGAGCGCCCTCAGCCTCGGCGTGGAGTGGTCTTGTGCCATGGAGGCGTTTGGGGCTGGCGAGCGCGTTCTGTCGCTGGCCGCCACGCCACGGTCGGAACCGGGCAGGGCCAGGCGCTCGGATGCAATGCAGGGCGACATCGCGTTCGAGGCGGTCAGCTTTGCGTACCCTTCGCGCCCAAGCGAAATGGCCCTGGACCGCGTCTCCTTCCAGTGCCCCGCTGGGTGCTGGACAGCGGTGGTTGGGCACACGGGCTCTGGCAAGTCGTCGATTATTGCACTTGTGCAGCGACTCTACGATCCCACGGACGGGCGCGTGCTACTAGACGGCGCCGACGTCCAGGGCCTGGACGTGCAGGAGCTGCGGAGCCAGCTCGGCGTCGTCACCCAGCAGCCGAACTTGTTCCGTGGCAGCGTGGCCGAGAACATCGGCTGGGGTCTGGCTGATCCAAGCCTGGAGGACGTCCAGGAGGTGGCGCGCACCGTCGGCATAGATGATTTGATTCGCGGCCTGCCAGAGGGCTACGACACCATCATCGGGGACACCATGCTGTCTGCAGCTCAGCGCCAGCAGATCGCCATTGCACGGGCGCTGATGCGCGACCCGGCGGTCCTCCTGCTGGACGAGCCGACCGCGGCGCTCGACCCCGGCACGTGCCAGCTCGTCATGGACGCGATCTGCCGCTCGCGGTGGTCCCCGCGCCGGGGCCGAAACCGCTCCATCATCATGGTGGCCCACCGCCTGGAAACGGTGCAGGGCGCCGACCAGATACTGGTGATGCAGGCCGGGAGGGTGGTCGAGAGCGGCACGGCCTCGGAGCTCATGGCGAGGGGCGGAGGCTTCGCACGGCTGGTGGCAGACCAGCGCCTCCCCACCGAGCACACTTCTCGAATCTAACGCTTGCGCCGCCCCTGCTCTGGAGGAAGAGAAAACGGCATGACCATAAACTTTTCTGGCGCTCCGCGCGGATATCTTGGATCCGCGCTGGTCCCCCCCAGTGGCGCCTCCGGCGCCGCCCCTGGCGCGCTCCGCGCGCCAGGGAGGGGGGTCCATCGCAGATCCGAGAAGTCCGCGCGGGGCGCCAAAAGTTTAGGTTTATGCCGTTTTTTCTTCCTCGACGCTCCTGCCCTGAGATTCTGGCGTCTCCGTTTTTCCGAGCCGGCCGTCTTCGCCCGGCTTCGGGCCCCCCCGGGGCCCTCACGGGTCGATCTGGCGCGAAGATGGAGCGGACAAAAGGTGCTGTCCGGGGCCTGGGTCGTGGTTTTTTTTTTTTTTTTTTTTTTTTTTTTTTTTTTTTTTTTTTTTTTTTTTTTTTTTTTTTACAAGCATGTACTTTCTTCGCGTCGTCGGATCTCAGGGTACCTCTCCCCTCCTGCCTGCCTCACTCCTCCGCGAGAGAGGCTGAATGCCTTGCCATAGCGACAATTCAGCAACTCGTCCGTGCTGAAGTGCGGTTGCATGATCTTCTCGCCCACTTCATAATATGAGCCCTGCCCAACTTTAGACACAGGCGCGCCTCATCACACAATTGGATGAGCGTTTTGTGCATTGCAAGTTGTCCAGTTTTTCGCACGTGTGAGTTTACAGGTTCTCCCCGTCGCTTTGCAAAATGTCCTCTCGGAAGGGCGCACCTGGCGTGTCATCTGAAGTTTTCTTCTGTCCTCCCCCCCTCTTGGCGAGCACGCGCGCTCCCTCTTCCCTCTCATCCTCCCACCCCCTACCCGCGCTCGTCCTCCTCCACCTCCTCCTCCTCTTCCTCCTCCTCCTCCTCCTCCACCTCCATCTAACTTTTGCCCCTCATGCTCCTGACTGACAATGTTGTTCAGCGATCTCACCCAATTACAACCTGCGTGTGTAGTAGTACTCAGTAGACAATGGATTTCCTTGGACTGCTCGTACGAGGGATGTTGTATGGCACTATCTGCGTGATCAGTATCGAAGACGCCTACGACGACCTACCGCCGCCCCCTGCCTGTTGGAAGCGCCGATGTGGTCGAACGTTGCGGCCAGAGCTCGGCCAAGCTATCGGACTATGTGTTCCTACAGGCGTTGTGGGAACCCTTTCCAGGAATACGTGGGGGAGAAAGAAGAAGAGGAGAGGGAGGAAGACGGAGGGGGAGGAGGATGAGGATGAGGAGGCCTCTTCGGAGCCTCTTATCCTGCGGCCATGTTGGGCTCTCTTGGGGCCATCTTGGCCATCTTGGAGGCCATCCGAGCCGTCTTGGAGGCCAGCCATCTTGGGGAGGGAGGCCAATGAAGAACGAAGTTTACGCGGTTCTCCGGTTGGCCAGCGGGGTCGGCCGAAGACCCAGTGGGGAACCTTTAAAAGGAGCGAGAACTGCCTAACGCTTGGCACGCCGTGCATCACTGTGGCAAGCCATTGGGGGCGGCGGGACTAGAGGCCGTCGGGCCACCCCGCCACCGTGCCTGGGTCGTGGACAAGGAGCCTCTTGGATGCTTCTCAGGGTCTCTTGGGGAGCCTCTTGAGGCCACCTCGGGAGCCTCTTCTGGGCCTCCTTGCAGATCCTTTGAGGTTTATTGGGGGCCTCGGATGTCATCTCGCGCGCGCGCGCGTGCCGAGCAGCGGACATCGCCGCATGCAGGACAAGTGCGATCGTCGTTCAGGGCGAGTGCAATCGCAACCAATTTCGACGGGGCCAGTGCCTTTGCAGCTGCCCGCCGCGCTTTGCTCCGCGCCGTAGGTGGCACGCTGACGACAGCGACAGAGCCACGGCACGGCAGTGCCGCCGACAGCTCCGCAGTGGCGCTTCAGGCAGCCGACGGCCCAGTCGAGGTGGCCGGCGCCCGCGGCGACCACGCGGGGGCTCCGCCCTCCGCCCAGGTCAGCTACCTGACGCGAGTGATGTGCGCGCCGCGACATGGTGTGAGCCAGGACCGACGAGACCAGCGCCATCAACGCCGCGACACGTGGCGGGAGGGAAGGAGAGTATCAATGACACGCCGATGTTCGGAGTCCGTCAGCGTGCTGCTCCGTCGCCGCTGTCGGAGTGCCTGCCTGCTGCCTCCTTCCACAGGAAGGCGCTGCTGGGTTCCCCACCTGCAGCTTGTGGCTGATGTCTGTCTTTGCCCGCGCAGACACGGGGCCACCGGGTCAGCTGCGGAGGCCGCGGCCTGGCGATCGGCACCCTCGTGCACGACGCCGCCAGGGTACGGAGCATGCGCGAGAGCCCGCCCGCCTGCGAGATCGAGCCTCTTGGCGTCCGCGCCGCGGCGCGGCGCTACCCGCGCGGAGAGGAGGGGGGGGGGCTGGCGGCGGGGCAGGGCCAGAACGGAGCGCCTCTTCCGCCTCGAGGGCGCCCAGTGCCACGGGGCCGCTCGCGCGCGGCACCGAGGCGAAGCGCAGGGGCCGAGGCGTCCTCGCGAGACGCGGGGGTCCTCGGCCCCCGGCTCCCCTGGGGCCGGGCACTTGCGGGGGAGAGCGCGCGCAGGATCGAAGCAGCGGAAGTGGCACGGCGACGCCCTTGGCTGCGTCGCTGCGCCGCTTGTCACTGGCGCCGCCCTCGTCTGTGCTGGGCGCCGCAGGGGCCGACGTGCCCGACCCGGCTGTCGCGGCGTGCCGTTCGGGCGCGCGCAGGCGCCCAGAGGCGCCAGAAAAAAGAAGGCGGCACCGCCAGGTGCAGTGGGACGAGTCGGATGTTCAAGCGCTGGAGTCCCGATCGAGCAGCAACGGCGCTTCGTGTTCGGCGTCTACAGCGGTATCGCTGCCGGGCCCGTCGTCCCGCTGGAGCGGGAGCGGCATCGGCTGCGGCGTTCAGCTCGCCCAAGCCAGGTGATTTGAGGGGGCATTCTGGGTGTACAGTCGGACCGAGGTGTAAGATCGAGGTCGGTTCGGGGAGGGTACCCTTGGATCTTCTGTGCGTGTTTTGGCCGGCGGAGAGGCGCCGACGACTGCAGCAGATGGCTGGCCGCGGGCCCCGCGACATTCCACGGCCGCGAACAAAATCGGGACGCGGCCCCACGGTCGGGAACTTTTGGACAGCCTGTTGCGCCGCCCGTTCTTGCCCACCACGCTGCGGCGCGACACGCTGTCCACCTCGTGGTCCACAAGCGTCCACGTCCTCCGAGCCTGGCAGGCGCGTGGCAGACTGCGGTGCAGCCCCAGTGGCCCGGCCGATCCCGCCTTGCCGGACGGGGATCGCTGCAAGGACATCACTGGCCAGTCGCAGCCAGCGCCGCAGCTTCTCGGGAGCTGCCAAGAGGGGGGGGATGACCACGGTCGAGCATATGATCAAGGCACCTCCCCCCGGCAAGCAGGGCCAGCGCTTCTTGCCCAGCTTACTGGCAAGCTGGCCCAGTTTCTTGGGCACGTTTGCCTTGACAGCGTCAAGAACAGAAGTTGGCCCAGGCATGTTTCAAGCCATTCCCAGGAAGCTGGCCCAGATTTCGTAACTGATCACTCTCTTGATCGCATCTTCGGCCGTAGGGGGGTTGGTCATCATGGCCTGGGCCGTGATATCTCCCTGGATCTCATGGCTCCCTCGTCTTCTCTTACTGCGTCTCCCGTTCCCCCCCATCGTCTGCGCACATGCCTCGGGCCATGTTTTGCGAACCGCCCCTCTTGGCCGCCCCCTTCTTGGCCGCCCCCCCGTCTTCGGACGTTCGGAGGCCACCGCGCGGAGTGCAGGGAGCCGAGCCGGGTTGCACGGGCGCCAGGCTGCTGAGGCCGCCGCCCAGGGAGCTCGGAGCTGTGCCAGGGGGCGCGGGGGGAGGCTTGAGAGGGCTCCCCCGCTGAAGGGGCCCCAGGGTTGCCGTGGGTGGGGGGGGGGGGACTCCATCTACAGAGCCCTTGTGCTCTATGCCCGCGCGGCCTGAGAGTGCGGCACGAAGCCTCCTGTTTCGAAGCTTCTTACAGGAAAGGCTTGCACTGAGCACGTGTCATGCAGAACATCTCGTCTTCAACGTTGCCCTGCCACGCCAGAATCCAGCGCGATTTTGGCGCGCCACAGCGGCGCCCGATTTTAGTTTTCCTTCCTTAGCTCCCGTCGCCCCGCGGCCCTGCTCCGCCATGGCTTTCAGTCTTCCTATCGCCATCCGCCCGCACCCGATCCCTGGGGTGGCGAGGCGCCTCGCGCGTCCCCTCTGGCCTCTTTCCCAGCCGAGTCCTGGAGGGGCACCTCCGCTGAAGCGCCAGAGAGTGGCCGTCGGCGCCCCCCGATGACCACGAGAGGGAAAGCGCCTGCCTCAAGCGTGCCGCTCGAGCAGACAGCACCAGCAGTCTCACTCAAGAGCAGGACCAAGGCAGCGGGGCCGGGCCGAGAGCCAGACGCATCTCGGAAGCCCAACGAGACAATAAAACCCTGACCATCAGACAAAGGCAACGCCTTGGCATCGCTCGGGCGTGTTGCGCTGCCTCTCGGCGGGGACCGTCGGAGAGCCTTTTAGGCCACCTTCCAAGACACAAACAAACGAAAACGCGCACGACGCCGACGCATGGACGTGGGATGGACGTCCGAGCGATGGCGAGACGCAGGGCCAGCCTCGCTCCTCCGAGCGGAGGGAGCGGGGGCGGGGTCCGACAGCAGCCTCCAGTCAGCGGCCCGACCTTGGCCCTCCCTGCTGGGACGGGCGTGCTCGAGCGCGGGGCCCTCGGAGGAAGGCGGGCTCGCTTTCCCCGAAAGGCGGGGCCCTCGGAGGAAGGCGTACTCGAGCGCGGAGGAAGGCGGGCTCGCTTTCCCCTGAGAGGGCCACCCGACGGGGGCGGGGTCCGACGGCAGCTTCCAGTGCGCGGCCCGACCTCTGCCCTCCCTGCTGGGGCGGGCGTGCTCGAGCGCGGGGGCCCCTCGCAGGAAGGCGGGCTCGCCTTCCCTTGAGAGGGCCACCCGACTTGGCCTCGCTCGGACGTGTGCCTTCTTTTCTCGGCACCGTTCAGCCAATCCCCATCCCCATCCTCCTCCTCCTCCTCCTCCTCCTCCTCCTCCTCCTCCTCCTCCACCAAATTACCACCCCAGTCGGGGTCACGCCCCTCGAAGCCCGGGGGCAACGACCCATATCCCCATCTTAGTGGGGTAAGTTGACCAGTGGGGCCCAGGCCACGCCGCTGGGGAGGGGGATCGGTCAAACGATATTCATTTTCTCGGCGAGGACCCTCGAGGAGCCTCCTGGACCATGGAGCCGAACACACACGCACGAGATCGAAAGAAAAAAACGAACGGGGAACGGACGCCCGAGCGATGGTGGGCCGGAGCGGCGCAGAGAGCAACGGCGTCGCCTCCACCGGCGCTGCCGCGGCGTAAGCTGCCCGCGCAACGCCGCGCGGCAAGCGACCTCGTGTTTCCGGTGCGGCGTGCCGCGCTGGCGACCCGCCCCGGCCACCGCGAAGGGTCGCCGCGCCATCGTGCGCAAGAGCAGTTGTTTTCCGTCTCTCACCTGCGTCCCCCACCACCTCCTCCTCCTCCTCCTCCTCCTCCTTTTTCCTCCTCCTCCTCCTCCTCATCCTCTCTCACCTGCGTCCCCCGCCTCGAGGCATCGGTGTCTGGCAGGAGCGCCCGGCAGACGCGGCATTTCCTGTCCTTGCCAGGGCCAGCCGCACTGTTCGCCGTGGGCCGCCCGGGCGGCACCCTATTGACGCGCAGGGGTCTACGAACGTCGCCGCCGGTCCTCCTCCTCTCTAGGCCTCCCAGATGGGGTCGGAGTCGAAGGGGTCGGAGGAGCGCGCCGCATCGCCGATACATCGGCGATGCGTCTCGATGTTGAGCCCAGTTTTCTCCGCGCTGGTGTCGCCGATGTATCGCCGATGCATCGGCGATGCCTCGGCGATGTGGTGCAATCCTCCGCCCCCGCCTATATCCGGACCCCTTCTATGGGAGGCCTCTATTCTCCCCCCCTCCCCTCGGGCCCTCCGCCGTCCTCCTGTGTCTCCTCCTGTCTCCCCCTCTCATCCGCCCTCCCTCCTCTCTGGAGCCCGTTCGGAAAAACTCCTGGCGATCACCTTCGTGATCGGCCCCGCCCCCCCCCCCCTGTAGTCACGTCACGGCGGCCGTCCTCCAGTGGCGACCGCGGACGTCCTGTGGTGCTCGCAGGCTACTGTGGTGTTCAGAGGCATGTTGTTGTGCTCACAGGGACGCTGTGGCCCTCGAGTGAACGAGCGGGCTCCTGCCTCTCTCCCGCCACGCCCTCGTCCCCCCGCCTCCCCATCCTGCCTCTCTGCCTCACTTGCCGCCTCCCCCTTCCCCGCCTCCTCCCCCCTCGCCTCCCGCCCGCTGCCCCTCCTCCTCGCCCCCTCGCCCCCCCTCCCCCCCACGATGCGCCCGCGAGGGCTCACCGCGCACTTCGTCGACCACTTCGACGACATCTACTCCCTGGCCTTCGGGGAGACCGGGGCGCCCAAGCTGGCGTCCTCGAGGGGCAGCGAGGTGGTGACTGTACACACGCCGCTGGAGGAGGGCGCCCGCGGCCCCGCGCCTCTGCTCCCGCCATGCCCCCTCGTCGGCATCGCTCGGGCGTGTGCGCTGTTCCTCGGAGAGCCCTCGGCATGCCAGATGGCCCCGTGCCCCCGATGTGTGCCCCGAGGGGATGGTAAAGTTCGGGGCCCTGGTGGGATGAACTCTCTGTCCCGGCGAGTCGCACGTGGGATGTATGATGAGGAAAGAGGAGGTCGTCGTCGTCATCATGTCATCGTCGTCGCCCGACGTTGACGACGACGACGACGCCGACGACCTGGCCCTGCCACACGTTCGAGTCCCGCGCCTCTCGGGCCGAGCCAGGGGGGCCTCTGCGCGTCACATGGGGCCGCTCGGCGCATCTGGCCGCGCGGCCCCTTTGCAGGGCCGCAGGCCGCCAGCGGGACGGGCCCACCGCTCACCGCCGCACGCGGCTCCATGCCGCCCGGCCTCCTCCGCCCGCATCCCCTAGGGCGCGAAGTAAAGGGGTGGCGACAAATAGGGGGGAGGACCAGAGGAGGGAGAGGTACCCCATACCTCTACCCTTTCCTCGCTCGCCTCTTTTTGGGCCTCCTGGGAGGCCGTCGTCGCCGCCTCTGGATTCGCCTTCACATTCTGGTCAGAGAGCATCCCAGGAGAGGTCAGGGGAGTAGCGGTATGGGCACCTCTTGGTTTCCGCATTTTCGGTCCCGACAGGCCCCTTTATGCGGCCCCAGCGGGCTTCTTTTCTACAGCCCTCGCTGCCCCCCTTCACGTGTCGCCCCCCCCCCCCCCCCCACTACTTCGCAACCCATCCCCCCGCCTGTGCCAATGACTCTAACAGGTTTTTCTCCCCGTCTTTGCCAATGGTCGTCGGGACGAGCGGAATGGGTACGGAAACAATGGTTACAAAGTCCAACAGCAGTTCTTGTTCAATCTGAACAGGATTCGTTGTCGGCGTCGCCGCGGTCGTTGTCTTTTTGAGACAGAAGGCCGCCTGCCCAACAGCGGCCGCTGTCGGTTTTGGACAACGTGTGTTGTTAGGCATCGTATCCATTTTTCCCGTACCCATTTTGGGCGTCCAAAAAGTGTCTCCAACAGGTCTGTCTCATCGCACCACCAGGCGGTGTCGTTAGAGCGGGCCAGGCGTTGCGCTTGGAACTTCTTCTCGACTCGTGACCGCGAGGGCTGAGCCGTCCAGAGATTTCGCGGACGCGTGGCGACAATTTTTCATATTACCAGGTTGCGCCTCTCGCCTTGTCGCAACGCGCAATCGCCCACAAAACGTCTAACAGCTTTACTCTTATAGTTACAAAAAACACAAGCACTAAGGGTCTTATTGGTTTTACGCCAGAAGGGGGCGTCGTTGAGAGGGTGCCTGGCACGGATGCGGGGATCGGGGTGGCGTCGGTGTTTGGAGCTGGCGGTCTTCGTGGCAAGTACGTTTAGCTGGCCGCATTTGTTTGGAACGCGTGACGGGTGGAAAGGCCGCTCACCAGCAACTGGCAGTCCTCTGCCCGCGTGCCAGAACATATCGTCCCGCGCTCGCAACGGGGTGTGGGAAAGGGGGTAGGGAAGAGAGCGCGAGTCTCCTTCCCAAGAAGTCCCTTCGATAGGCAGCAACACATTATTTTTCTATTCATGTGCCGCACGGCCAACCGAACGAAAGAACAACTGTCTATGCGCGCAGTGTTAGCTTCGCTTGCGCGAATCCTGGCTTCCTTCCGTTGCTTCCTTCGCTTCTTTCTCGCCCTCCTCTTCCTTTTCCTCTTCCCCTGCTTTGCCTTGTCCCGCCCCCCCTTCCTTTCCAGCTCGGAGCTGTCACCGCGCGCGAAAAGCGCAACCCAAAGGGCGTTGCTGTAATTCCTTTGCGTGCCACGGAATATCGTGCAATTTCTTTGTGGACGGTCTGGTTACATTGCCAACGCGGGGGGCGCACAAAGAAATCTTCTTTGTGTACGATCGTGTTCGCCGTCCCCACAAGAGCACGCGCGATTCCTTTGTGTAGAGCTTGTTGTCCCGCCCCGAGGAGCGCACGGGGCCTCGCGCTACAAACGCAAGGCCGCGGCGCCTGGCAGTGCGATGCAGCTGCTCCGGATACCACGCCCAGAACGATCCGACGTGGCACTGGATTTCTGCACTTATGCCGAAATCGCGCTGGAACGTATCGCCGCCGACAGCGCTGCCACACCATACATGTCAACTGCATCTTAGATCACGGCCGTGCACCAACCCTGGTTCGGATCGCCGGGGATCCAGTGGCATGGGTGCACATGCGTTGCGCCGTCGGTGGTGCTAAAACCCTTTGTGTGACATTCTTTTTTTTTTGTGTGTGTGTGTGTGTGTGTGTGTGTGTGTTTTTTTCTGGTTCTTATTTACGGATGGAGGGCGGATGGCTTTCAACGTGCGGTCTTCGTTGTAGCGCAACGCGCAATCGTCCAATTTTTCCGCAGCTGTATAGGTGCCGGTCGGGTTGTTTTCAAATTGTGGCCTTCGCTTTCGCGACTCGCGCACCCGTGTAACAATTCTCCACACTTCAATGATGGATGGCGGTGCGTGTTCAACATGCGGTTGCTGCTTCAGACTGCCTTGAACCAGTCGTCGTGACCAATCATATTGAGATTCCACATCAACTACACGGGGCGAGGGCGGTTACTTGTCATATTTGGGTTGTCGCGGAGGAACTCTTGCCTTCATGGTCAGAATCTGACAGTTGTACAACATCTACACGGGCGGAGGGTGGCTCCTTTTCAAAACGGGTTTATGGTTGGACCCATCTCCTAAACAGTTTACGGCCGTGCCTGTTACATTTCGTACAGCTAAAAAATGAAGGGCGTTCTTTTCCAGACGGGAGGTCTCGGCCCGATGGCTGGCGCATGGGGCGTTCGCGTGTCAGTGGGTTTGCCATGGAGCGGCTTGAGACGGGAGTGTGCGTTGCAGCATCGTTGATGCATCGAGGGCCTGTTCTGAGCTTTGTCCTCAACCGTTAGTCCATATGAATACTGCTCGCCTCTCTCCCGCGAGTCTGTGGCGGAATATGTTTCGGAGTGTTCGGCCCCGCTTCGCGTATTGTTTGTTTCCACACAGGATGTCGGCGAATTGGGTTTTCGTTTTTTTTTGTTGTTCGACATGCTGCTCTCGCTGAGGCGCTGGCTTCATGTTTGGGCTTCCGCTTGTTCCGAATCGTGCTCCCGCAGCAGCGTTGGTTCAGAGTCGTGCTCCCGTTGCAGCGCTGGCGTCGTTATTTCCAGCGCCATGCCACGGCATGGTTTTCGGTCCTTCCAAATAGGACCCCCAAACTAGAAAATGGCCTCCCGAAGCATCCGTCGGAAGTGATTACGCATTCTGTGCCGATTCGTTGACTTGTTGGGTCGCAGAAGCCTTGGGGCGTCAGGCTACGGGTTGATCTTCAACACCATGTTATACCATGTATTGCTATGCCGTGTTACGACATCCGACTTTGCGAATTGAGAGGAAATCGCGCCATGGTGAGGGATGGGGAGGGGTAGGACGTCAGATATGACGCGAGCTCACCTAGCTTGTCCTCTGCCCTCTCCCTTTCCTCCGTGACCCCTCCTCCCTCAGCCTCCTGCTTCTTCTCCATCTCAGCGCTCCTTCTCTCTCCTCTATCCTCTCTCTCTTCCTCTCTCCTCTCTCTTCCTTTCTCCTCCTTTCCTTTTCCTCTCTCCTCTCTCTTCCTTTCTCCTCTGTCTCCTCCTCTCTTCCCTCCCTCTTCAGAGACCTCCGGACACCTCCCGAGACCTCCGGAGACCTCCGTGGACCTCTGGAGGTTCTCGGAGGTTCCGCGGGACCTCTCGGAACCTCCAGTGGCCCCCCCTTTGGGGACGGCGCGGCGGCAGCACCTTCCCGGATGCTACAGTCCACCCGTATAGTAAGTTTAAGGTGGGGTATGTCTCTGTTCATGAGGAATAGAATGCCAACATAATCCGGGGACGATGTTTCAATTATTTTGTTTACTATGTTTAGGGAGAGTTTGCTCGATGGTGTTCAGAATGTCCTATCTTTTTGCATCGGAACGCGTCTCGACTCTCAGCAGCATGTATTCGTTGTGTGTAATATTTGGCTCGAGATCGCCTGGCGGCGACCGGTGTCGGCACCACGACGGGCGGCACCGAGCTGGCAGTCTGCGCGCGATCGGCCCTCCTTGTGCCAGCCGCAGCTGCGCTCTGGGGGCAGGCGGCACTGTGGCGGGCAGTCCGCCTCACCCCCGAGGCGGCCCGCGCTGTCGCGGTCGCTGCCTCGCGCGGGGCCGCGGCGGCCGCGAGTGGCGCGGAGGCGGCCTGGGCCCGGGGGTGGCGCGCGCTGCACGCCCTGGCAGGCTTGGCCAGCTCCCTGGCGGCACTCGCCTGGGAGCGTCGCTGGCGGGCGGCACGGGACGCCCGTGCCTGCTGGTCGGCGTGCTGTGGGCTGGCAGGAGGCGCCTGGAGGGCCTGCTGCGCGGCGGCGCGGCGCCTGCGTTGGTGCGGGAGGGCTCGGCAGGCCGAGCGCGTTCGCCATCGCGAGCTCGCAGCGGCGTCAACCGCCCTGCAGAACGCCTTGGTGGAGATGGCGCTGGCAGCTGGCGTGGCCGTCGGTGCTGCAGCCCCATGTTGGGTGCTGGTGTCGCGCGGAGGCGGGTGAGACGAAATGCTCGTGTTCGGCCAGGTGCAGGGGAAAGACTACAGCCTGGCGTTGAACACCGACGACACGGGCTCGAGCTTCGTCTGGGTGCTCGTCCGATTGCTGCCTGGGCACTTCCGAGCCGTGGTGGTGCCAGGGGGCGTGGCCGCTCGGGCGCCGCCTTTCGGCATTGCGCCACCCTCGGTCAACTGGATGAGCGCGCCTCCGCACGCTGCTGTGCAGTGGAGCCCCTCGGCGGCGGAGCTGGCCGCACTGCGGCTGGAGGCCCAGGGGGTGGATGCTGCCTTCGGAGCCATGGTCGTGCCCGCTGTCGTGGTGATGGACGCGGGAGCAGGCTTGCCTGGTCTCCCTGCGTTCATGCCTGTGGAGGGCCCTCTTCCTGGA